ACGAATAATTTGTAAGGATAATGATAAAAATGTTAGTACATATCAGTAAGAAACATTCATTTACCAAACAAGATTTAACAAAACAGTGAGGCCTTTCCCATGATTGAAAAACACATTATAAAACCTAGTACATACCAAGAGTCCAGTTACAAGCCATGCATACATACGGTAAATGGTCATTTCAGAGAAGCAGAAATCAAAGACATTAATCTATGTCTGTATAGTAGCCATAGGGTTATAAATCTGCACTATGCACAAGGGAACAAGTGTTTCCAGCACATGTCCTCTTTCACACTTTTAAAATGGTCTGGATTTAGGATGGTTACAGACAGGTACTTTTACAATAATAATCACATACTGACATTTGATGAAATATTGTTCCTTATTGTTTCACGATAGAAATTATTTCTAGGGACTTTATTATTGAAGTGGATATCAGGTATTCTAAGTAATCTAACAATCAAAGCTGCCTGATAATCATTCATCTACTAGACCAATATCAATAGGAACAAAGCACTGCTGGTGAGGAAACTAGTTGGGAATTAAGCATGAGAATCCCATCATCTTGTCTAGGTTGAAGAGTTGCCTACAGAGTTCAGATTTTCTGCTTATGCTTAATTCAACTGAATCAGATTGCCATCTCAGCAACTCAGCCACAAAGGGTTTGATGGCTCATTGACTTTTTGACTTCTCTCCCCAAACTTAGGAAGTTAACTTCCTGCTTACTTCACTTCCGTTTTGATCTGCAGGATTTCTGCAGTCACTTTCCACTTACCCTGACCAAATCTGGGCTGATTTGGGAACTCCACTCATTCAAGGTCTTTTGGATACAATCTCGAAGCTGCAAAAGGAATGCATTTTTAAACCTTTAATCAATCTCTATTCACTCCCCTTACATCTATAAACAAGAATGCATAGTTTGGTAAATTAAGCAGGGGAAAAACAAAAGACATCAATAGGATTTATCATACAAACCCTTAATTCTACAGGTTTTTGTTTCCTTCAACAGATAAATTCAGACCTGTTTTTATTCTACTCTTAATTCTCAAACATTCTTAACCCAAAGCATTAGTCTAATTATTTTTACACTGTTTATGTACTAAGAAAACTTTAAACTTACACACATTCATAAAGAAACAAAAAATGATTTCAAGAATAAGGTTATAAACAGAGGAACTTGGATTTAAGCCAGGCACACTAAAATTCTTATTAACCATTATGCTACATTCCTTGAAGACAAGCAACAAAATAAGTGTGGCCAGAGGAACGCCTACATCAGAATCCCTGTGGTGTTTATTAAAGACTCAAACTCTCGCTCAATCCTAGACCTGATGAACACTCTCCAAGTGCAGCCAGGATTTCCATTTTAACAGTCATCCCAAGTCATTACTATGTACCCTGAAGTCTGAGAATCAGAGGACAGCTGTACCTTACAGAAGTCAACGTGCATAATGATTGTTCATGAGTCATTTCCTAACACCTCAGTACACATCTAACTTGTTTTCAATGTTTTCTTGGATAAACATTATTTATCCAATATGCTATACACAAGAGCATGTTGTAAATTCATTAAGGAGTTTATTCCATTTATATCTCTTATGTGAATGTGTTTCAAACTTACTAGACAGTAGCCCAAAGTAAGGTGTATATTCACTTAGTGAGTGAAAGAAGACTTAGCTTCATATTAAGGAACAAAAAACAATATTTATGGTCACTACATGCCAGTACTCTAGCGGCTTTTAGTCTTTTAATCAGAAAAAAATATGATGTTCTATGACTCACTAAACTAATTTGTGACCACTAATTGGTCAACACCAGCAGTTTGAAATCACCATCTTAAAAGATAACAAAGGTTACAGTACAACAGAAAAAGAAATGAGCAATGAGAGCAAGCCCCTGAACTGCAAAAGCACTTTCTGAACAGGGACAATAGAGAGTAAACTTCTAAACAATAATTGCTTATGATGAAAACTGACACAAGCACTTTACCACTTCTTAATATTAATAATCACAAGGGAAAACTGGTTATTAATTTAAGGGTACACAACCACTTATGTTAGGATTTACAACCTACAACAATCATTTATATGCTATCCATAATAACTTACTTAAATTTAAGTTACCAGGTCTATGTCTTTATGCAAAATTTATTTCTAACAAAATTGAGATCAGTAGATAAAAATTAGTTGATAATCTTTCCAGATAAATCAGTAATTGTTGAGGAAGCAGGACTGATAAAGTCAACAATTTTATCAGGACTGCTTTGGTTCAAATTGTGGGAGAAGTCTAAGAAATTTTTCTTTGGAAGAATGATTCATTTACATACAAGACTTTCCTGATTAATTCTTCAATTCAGAAAGATAAGTATATTTTCAGAGTATTTACCCCTTTTCTGAAACCATCTCTTTAATTAATCTTGGTTTCTGCAAAATTCAGGATAAATTGTAGCAAAGTCTAAAGTTATATAAGAAATTCATTGACTATATCACAAACTGAATGATTTCTAATCTTGTAAGTTACATGCTATCTATAGTGACTGAATATTAACCTTATACCTTTTTGTTTCCTGCTTTCTTCATCATCACATATATAGTATCACTAAAGATAAATATCATCACAATGTAGTCTACATTAGATCTGGAATGGCTTAAGAATTTTAAAAATACCACAATTAAACTGATCAAATACTCAACAACAAAAAAAAACAACACAATCTTATAAAGATTTATTTAAAAACAATATTTGAACCTAGTTTCAATACTCAGCACTGTCATAAATAAATAATTTGTAAATATTTGATTTCATAAAACACTAGTGAAACACAAAAATATGTGAAAAGATCAAAGAATCAAAAAAGCATTAGAACTAGAAAAGATCTTTTAAGAATTGAACACTCAACCAGCCTGGTGGTGCATGCCTGTAATCCCAGAGGCTAGGGAGACTAAGACAGGAGGATCAAAGCCAATCTCAGCAAAAGTGAGGCACTAAGCAACTCAGTGAGACCCTGTCTCTAAATAAAATACAACCAAAACAAAAATAGGGATGGGGATGTGGCTCAGTGGTTGAATGCTCCCGAGTTCAATCCCTGGTATCGCCCCCCCCCCTCGCCGCCAAAAGAACTGAACACTACCAGATGTATAAATTTTCAATAATGATTTTTTTTCACTTTCTTTAATCTCTTCAATGAGGTTGAGCTGTTTCAAGTGGTACATCCCAATTTGGAGCTCTCTATGTAAAATTCTTTACATAGAAATAAAGCACGCCTATCCTATTCTAATTAAACTGTTATAGTTTCCCTACAATATGCTGCTATTTCTTCAAGTTTTCTTCAAATATCCTAGGGTCTTTAGTTTTGTCCTACTCTGACAAGGCACCCTAAACAAAAAACTACAGACCAGAATTAATCTTCTGAACAATGTTTTTCAGAAAACTGCGTGGATCAGCGCACACTGTCCCAGTGTAGTTCAGTGGTGGAGCCCTTGTATAGCATGTGTGAGACCCTGAGTTCCATTCCCAGCATCGTGTTAAAAAAAAAAAATTAAAAACAGGATAGAAAAAAATTGAGATGGCTCAGTATACAAAGGTTAACATCTTTGTGAGATCTCTCTTTCAGATATATTGATACACACATATAAATATAAAATTATGAATGCATGAGTATAATACATTTCTTACTATTTGGAGTAAACAACTTTGAAAGCCACTACTCTACTATGTGTTACAATGAGAGATGAGAGAAAAATCTCACCCAATATTGTCAAAATACATGCAGAACTTTCAACTACATTGGTCATCAGTGCTGAAAGAAATTAAGGCTTTATGTATAAAATATAGAAATACTTATCTTTCAGAGAAAGAGTCAAAGTGGGTGGTTTAAACAAAGCTGGAACCCAAACACAGAATAGGGAAGGAATTCTGGTGCATATTAAAGTGACATTGCAAGAGTTCTCACCTCCTGAAGGGTGCTGGTTCCCCACACGTACCAACTGCTACTTCCCCTACGGTCTGTGGACAACAGCTCTCATATAAACAGCTAAAACTGACTCTGAACAGCTGATAACGTCATAACCTGACAGTTTAGGCAACCAGTTCTTTTAATCAAGATTCTCTTTCCGATGGAACCAGGTTATTTGGAGCATTTTCATATATAATCTCTTAATTCTCACAACAACCTCATGAGGAAGGTAGCACCCAACTTCCAAACTACTTTCTAAAAGTCACACAGCTCCTAAAGTAATTGTTCATTATTTTTACGTTTAACCAACACATCATAATCGCACATATCCATTGGGAATTTTTCAAGTACTAAAATTATTCCGTGCCTCCAATTACCTGTGCAGTGAATGGATGACTACTCACTGGCTCAGGAACAGTCAGCAACAAAGGGGTAACAAGTGCATACTTCCAAGATTAACATCTGCCACCTCCAACTAACTGGTGATCAGTCTTCGGGAAAATAAAAGGCGGCCGATAAACTTCCAGTAAGAAAAAAAGACATATCTACGCCCTAACCAAATTTGAGGGTTTCGTCATTTGCTTCACAGCAATAATATCAACATGATCAAAGTTAAGCGTATTATGAATACTATCATTTACCAAAGGTTAATCTTTGGAATATTCCTTTCGAAAGGAAAGGGTGGGGAAGGGAGCAAGAGACGGAGAGAGGCACCCAGCCACGTACAGGCGCTCCCCGACTCCCCTGCCAGGGAGAGGGATCCAGTGCGTCTCAGAGTTCTGCTATCCGCCGTGGCAGAGGCGGCACTCTGTGCAGTTGCACCTGCTGAGTTTTTAGGACGCTCGGTCCCAGGCGGCAGGTCCGGATGCGAGGTTGCATAGACCCCGGCCACAGTCTGCCGCCTCGCCACCGCCCCCCCCCCGCCCGCCGCCCCCCCTTTGCGCCCAGGCGCGCCCTCCCGCACCTGCCCTGGCCCGCGGCCTGTCCCAGAACCTGGGTCTGCGCGGACGCTGCTCGCCGGCCCTCACCTCCTCGCTGTGCGTGGAAGGGCACTTCTTCCGCAGGCGGCCCCAGTTCAGCAGGTTCCCAGTCTGCAGGTGCAGGGTGCGGGCCCGCGCCAGGAGCGCCCCGGCCGCGCGGCTGTCGGTGCCCATGGAAGCGGCTGTCCGAGGAGCCAAGAGGTGACGGGGCGGGCGGGAAGGCGGCTATCTCGTAGGTCGCGGTTCCCGAGGCCGCAGGGGCGAGCGCGAGGCTTTTGACCCGCGTGGCGGGAGCCCGATGTGCGCTCCGGTTGGAGGAGGCCGGACGGTGGCGGAGCGGCGGCCCGGGATGGAGGCGCTGAGGCTTGGGGTCCGGCTGCTGCGTCTCTGGCTTCTGCCGCCGCCGCCGGAGAGTTGACTCCAAACTGTGGAAGCTGTTTCCTGGAAGACAATGACTAAGCAGAAATCGTGGCGGAGAAAAGTGCTTCGTAACCGTTACTCGTCCCACGGCGGAGAGGGGCGGGGCGCGAACGGGCAGCAGGACTCCGACCCGCGGATGACTGGCCCCCCGGCCTGCGGCGGGCGTGGCGGCGGGGCGGGCGGGCGCGCGGGCCGAGTGCGCGGGCCCCGAGGCTGGTGGCACAGCGCGAGGCAGGGCTCCCCCTGGCGGCTTGAGGACTGTGCTCCCGACGTAGCCCGCGCCCTCTGCCATCTACCGCTCACCGGCGCGCTCCTCCACCAATGGAAGCCGCGCTGTTGGGTTCCTCACACGCCCCTTTAAAAGGACAGACAGATGAAGGGTCCGCCCAGGCTTTGAAACACCAGATGGTTTTGGCTTTGGCGGGCAGGTGTTAATGCACAAGTGCCCTTTCTCTACTTTACCATCTTTAAGAACCTTCCCCCCAAATGCCAATTTTTCTTCATTACATAAACGTCTGTTAATTTACCCTGGTATGGTGTGAAGTCAAAGAATAAGACTTACTCTTTGCTCTTGCAAAGCTTAAGTTGCCGACATGAGGCCTAAGCATATTGTTACCAATATGTCCCCAATGCTGAAGTATAACACCAGAGAAGCACGCTGAGGCAAGTTTGAGTGGAAAGTTGAAGCTTTATTAAAGGACAGCAGAAAAGACTTCTCCCTGGAGGAAGAAAGGGACCCAAGAGGTGGAATCCATGGAAGGGGGAGGTCTTCCCTCTTTTATAGCTAAGGTCTACATTCAGCTTTCCCGCATTCCTGTCACATTCCTGTCCTTTGTTCTGTTATCTTGCAATGAGGGAAGGTAGGTGGAAGGCCCAAAGGGTGGGGGACAGGTGGGCTGAAGGAGTAATCTGGTCAGGAAGGGCTTTTGGATTTGCATTTCCTCTTTTGCTGGAAGCTGCTTCATTAACATTTCCTTGGGATGGGCTCCATCATTCTTCTTACTCAATATTAGACCTAATTTACCTAACTACCTATCTTTAAATCTGGCTTCAATATGATACATTAAGTAGTGTTATAAGAAAATCATAGGACAGTTAGTTTCTAGATGTGTTCACATTAAACGCAAATGTCCGAGTTGAGAAAAGACTTTATCACTCATCCTGGTAGAGATGGTGGTGATGTGATTCTTTACTCCCGTTTTCATGTGATAAACTTGATATAACATCAGTTTCAACATTTATTTAGCTTTCCTCAAGAAATCTTCAGTTGTTGGGGGAATCGGATATATTAAATGTCAAAATGAGATTATCATGAGAACAAAATCTACTGAAAAGAGATGGACCTCGACTTGGTAATTAGATAAGACTTAGGGCAGAGATGAGGAAGGTGATATTCTAGAAGGTTAGCAATTTGAGCCTGATGTTGAGCAAATATTTGTTGGCCATATCAACAGAGTTAAGAGTTCATTGATGAGAAGGGTAATGCTAGAAGCAAGAACAAATATGGGCTTCTTTAGTGAATCTAAGCATTTGATTCTTAGGCTGAATTTGCTGTGCTATCACATCTTGACTTTTTTAGTCTAGTACTTGGCTCATAGCAAACATTAAGTAAGTGAGAACTCCTAATACTAATACCTCTATGTTTTCCCCTTACAGGTCAGTTCTCACAAGGTTGGTAAATTCATAACATGATTTCACAGCAAGCATCATATGAACTTTCTTGTTGTTCACAGCAATTCATTTAAGTAACTTGTTGAAAATCTCAGCTAACAGTAGATATAGGTCCTTCAACTTTAAACTCTTTACCCTTCCATATTACAGGTAATTTAAATTCTTGAATGTGTTTGTGCATGATTTATATGCTTTGAATGCCTGAACAGCTTTAATTTACCCATATTATACTTAATGATAGCCTTGCCATAACACCACAATTTTGGGGTAAGGAAAATTAGTTTATTCTGAGGATAAAACCAGGGAATAGAAATCAGAGGAACATCATTATATAGTTATTTTGAATGAGTCCTTTTTCTCCTGTCTAGGAAACAGGAGTAATGTTTAAAACACTTCCATCTTTGGGAATCATATAAATTTTGTGTTTAGGTATGTAAAGGAAAGAAGCTACTGAAGGAAATAAAGAGAGAAGAGGCGGCTCAACAGTACCACAGGTTTATTGGGGACAAACCTGTGGAGGGGCACCCAGTGGAAACTGAGACCCATCTTCTGCTTACAGCCTGGGGTAGTTATAGGGGCTTGAAAGGAGTAGGGAGATTTTTGAGGTTAGGCCATTGCTAGCAGATTGTCAGGGAAGGTCCTTGTGGTTATCACCTCTATTCTTTGAGGTAATCACTGGTTCATGTTGAACCAGGTGTTTTCAGGATTTCAGTCCCAGATAACAATTTCCTTTCTTTGCATAATGATGGAGTATTGTCAGGGCTCAGTCAGTGACCATGAGGTGACTCTTATTCTAAGATGGAGGATATGTTTCAAAAACAACATTGCCTCTGTCAAGTCCTTCCTAATAAGATGCTTTAATTTTTTTTTGCAAATGCTATGTAATCATTGACCTTTTTTTTTTTTTAATTCTCCTTGACACATTATCTGCTACCACTCTTTATTCTCTTCTTTGAAAGAATTCTTGCTTTTCCTGGAATATACCCTACCAGCGTCCCAAAGTATTTGATCATAGAACACTTCTGAAATCCTGGTGTACTGTTGGAAGCCCAACAGGTTGTCAGGGAAGGGTCCTTGTTCTTTCATCTTTCTCTTAATAGTATTTCTCCTATGGTGCCTCTAGAAATTTGTATCTCCTATGCTTTTAGTTGTGAATAAATGTCTTCCTTAAAGATTCATCTAATACTAGATGATGAAAGAAATTACCATCAAATGCGTTTGAAATTTGCTAATACTTGCTAATTCTGTACAGTTATGTTTAATATCTGACTAGTGTTAAACCAACTTTGGGATTTCTTTAAATTGTCTAATGTTGGTTTGAGGCAGAGAAATTTGAAACCAAGTCTAATCTGTCAGTACACAATAGAATGTGGAGAATTGGGTTCCATTTGACTGTCCCCAAATATGGTTTCATCCCAACATGCACACAGACTGAAGACAGAAAACATATTTGCCATTAAATGAAGCATTACCATCCTTCTTTTAGAGAGAACCTGAGGCTGCTGGGAAATCATGATCCCAGAGTCCTAATAAGGCTGAAATAGTGAACGATAGAAGGACCTCTGGTAAGCCACGAACTTTCCTCGGTGTTGAAGTCTCACTTGTGGAGTGAAGGAACTAGAATGGGTAGTACTATCTCCCTATGGCTGGCTCATCTGCCAAAAAGAAGGACGTTTCTGAATAATTGGCAACTGAGAAAATGAAGTTGTGAAAGGTTTTATTATCATAAGAGTTGAAATTCAAAAATAAAATATAGTATAATATTTAGAGATACTATTTGTTTCTATTAGACGATATTGAGTTGAGATAGTCATATTTGCCTATTAATACTATTTATGATGTTGAATCATCAAATGCAATTTGTTTAGTAAGAATTGAAGACTGGTAGCTGCTTATGCACCTGTGGGTTATCTTGGTTTTGAGGCAGGGGGATTATAAATCTACTTTTTAAGCTGATCTTTCAGGGGTCTCCTGTGCTCATTATACTTTGAGAACCATTTTTTTTTTGTTGTTGTTGTTTGTTTGTTTTCTTTTTTGGTATCGGTGATTGAACTCAGGGGCACTTAACCACTGAGCCACATCCCAAGCCCTATTTTGTATTTTATTTAGAGACAGGGTCTCACTGAGTTGCTTAGCACCTCACTTTTGCTGAGACTGGCTTTGAATTCTTGATCCCCCTGCCTCAAAGCCTCCCAAGCTGCAGGGATTATAGGCATGCACCACCACATCCGTTTTGAGAATCATTGGTTTTATATGTGTATTTTCTTTGACATCTGACCTCAAAGACTTGATTTGTTAAGGGCCCCAATTATCTTGCCCAACATTTCTTCCTTAAAAAAAAAAAAATACACACACACACACACACACACACATA